AGTCACGCATTTGAATTTTTCCACGTCATTTTGTTGGACTCTAGGCACAAGACCACCGTGCGCATGCGCACGTTTTGTAGTAATACCGGTAAAGTAGCTGCTATGAGTTTATTGCCCTAGGTCGTCAAGGATCATAGTCATTAATAGACCGTCCACTCGCCAGCGTTCACCCCACGAGATACTAAGTAAGACGACTGAGTATGGCAACTATTTTGCTCCACCAATCAGCGAACGGGTTCTCCATTACCTTCAACCACCCTTCACTGGTCAACGTTGGACGAACCCATATGTCCAAGTATTTCGACCGATCGACGGGCCCTGGGCATTTAATTTTTGTAGGTTTTATTGTGATATCCTATCCCAACCGGGCTCCGGCTCTCTAGGTCTATTCGGTCCCAGCAACTGCTAAATACACCGACTAGTAAGCACCTGAAGAAACCCAAGCGACACAGCCACTACACTGCACTTAATGGAGCTACGATGCAAACATAAAGCTGCCAAGAGAGATATAAAGTTTTCCGTGAATTGCACGGAATTTCGGTGGTTCATGGTGCTTGGAAACCAGCGGGCTCCCACAGGGCGAAATAAACTTCAAATGTAGAGCAGCTCTCGAAACAACCAAGACAGGAAGAAGACGAGTGTGCATCAGAGGTCCACTCGGAGTCCTGGACTCAAACCCGACGTACAACTATCAAGTCTGCTAAGCTCTTTGGTCACACAACTCTCGGCTTCCCACCTTCAAAGGTAACAGAGACAGTGTTGAGAGGCTTGTCCACAATCTGCCTGTCTTCTCAACAAACTCTGCGATATTAAAGTCAGTTTGCCTTGAACAGCCATCCATAATCACAATCATAGAAACCTGGCTAACACCAGATGTCTCTGACGCGGAGATCTCGATATACGGCTACTCTGTTTTTCATGCCGACTCAAAACGAGGGAGAGCTGATGGGATTGCTTTGTACCTACCTGCGGCCCTGCCTATCCCGATTGTCCTGTCTGATACCACTCCTGCACCCTTTTTGCGATCCACTGTGCATCCAAAGCCCGCTGCGCGGGTCCGATACTCTCCTTCTCGGTGTGGTCTACCATTGTCCCTCGAATCTTCCTGAAGATGACCTGTTCCCCATACAAACCCTTGAGCAGCTCCCCTCCAGCCACGACTGTTGCAACTTCATATATATTTAGAACTACCTCCAATCTTGAATGCAGAGTCGGCGACTTGCGGTCTGGACCGGGCAGCAGGTGTATCAAGGCCATGGGGGGCCAGTGTCAGAATGGTATATAAACTGGTGCCCAGCTACACATGGCCATAAATCGCTTGCTCCGCTTGCCGTCCGGGTGCTCACGCCATGCCGAACGCCACGAGTACGGTTTCAACGATGGTACGACCGATTATGCCTAAGCCGAGTACCTCATCAACTGGATTATCGTCAAGTAAGGTGGTTTATTGTTGTATAATGTTTTTTAGGTTCATAGAATGTATCCTCGGACGAACGCGACGTTACCCGACGGATAATGGAGTACTTCCCTGGTCGTGAGTGTCGTTCCTTTGCGGAATTCGAGTCGAAGCTGCGAGAATTCCAACGGGGAATGGGCACGTGTTATGCTCGCAGGCATAGTTTATCGCCGGCGAAGTATGAAAAGAATGAGGGTAAAGTGCTTCCACGACGGTATGTTGATATATTTGTACATCATCATGCAAATAACTTATATTTAGGCACGCTGATTTCGACTGCCGATCGTTCATGCGTGTTGTTCACCGTGACGGTAGCCTTGTGATTGTTAGTTTTAATATGAAACACTCGCATGACCTGCATACGTCTGATTGGCAAGTGTATGCGGCGAACCGACGCTTGAATGCACAGCAGGAACGCGTGGTCTTTGGGTTGTTGCGATGTTTCAAGTCATCCATGGAAATCCGAGACTACGTCCGGAAAAACTATGGAATTGACTTGACGGGTGATGTGCGGGTCCTGCGTGAAAAACTGCGCCGCTTGGACTATCCTGTACACAGCAGGATGGTCTTTGGGTTGTTGCGATGTTTCAAGTCATCCATGGAAATCCGAGACTACGTCCGGAAAAACTATGGAATTGACTTGACTTGACG